TCTCCCTACCTTTTAAAAAAAAAAAAAAAAAAAAAGAGATTCCAATCGCTTGGATACATCATCTAAAAAAAAAAAAAAAAAAAACAGACAAAGGAGACATAACAATATCAGCCAAAAAAAAAAAAAAAAAAAAAAAAAAAAAACAATCATCTTTAAGATCTACTTTTAAAAAAAAAAAAAAAAAAAATACAAGTCTAACATCACAGGCGACAACTGTTCAGTTACTCCAAGAGTGGTACTCGATTGATATGTGCAATAAAAAAAAGAGAAAAAAAAAAAAAAAAAAAAACAGTATCTTTACATGTACATGAAAAGGTCTTAAAAAAAAAAAAAAAAAAAGAATGACTTCATTCCGTCCAAATAGTTTTATAATTTAGGAAATATCATAAGTCCTCCAAGGGATACATGTACTTTCTAGGGAGAAAAAAAAAAAAAAAAAAACAGTTTCAAAACGTTTACTGTCACAGTGTACAAAAAAAAAAAAAAAAAAAAAGGTATCGAGTAAGACGACCTACTGACCCATTAAAAAAAAAAAAAAAAAAAAAGGACACACAAGATGATAACACCTTGCCTTCAAAAAAAAAAAAAAAAAAAAAGCAGCTATCACTGGGTCGATTCTCCCAGCAGTAGTAAGCCGCTAGGGGACTGGGTACCTAATGTATCTTACCTGATTATTAAAAAAAAAAAAAAAAAAAACAGCCAAGCCACTGAAGGTTTCCTGAAGTATCAAAAAAAAAAAAAAAAAAAGGCCTTTCATAACAGGAGCGGGGGGCTCCTAAAAAAAAAAAAAAAAAAAAATAAATCACACTGTGCACAGCAATACATTTATCAAAAAAAAAAAAAAAAAAAAACATCTCGTGATATCCACTCGCATTATTGTCAAAAAAAAAAAAAAAAAAATCACACGACTGGACGTGTTATGCTGCAGGGTAAAAAAAAAAAAAAAAAAAACGAAAAAGCTTTGCTAACAAAACCTTGAGACAAAAAAAAAAAAAAAAAAAACACCCTGCAGCCTTTTTTGACTCAACAAATGCAAAAAAAAAAAAAAAAAAAAAGCTATGTGTGCTTCAAGATCAAACTATTGCAAAAAAAAAAAAAAAAAAAAGAATCCATACCCAGATTTTGTTATCCCCACAAAAAAAAAAAAAAAAAAAAACTCCTAACTAAGGCAGAATAATTTTCCACTCAAAAAAAAAAAAAAAAAAAGTAGATCGTAAATGACGTTGCGTGGTGCAGGTGAAGTGTGAATGAAAAGAGGTGCAAAATTTAAACATCTGTTTTTAAAAATAAAAAAAAAAAAAAAAAAAATAACTATTTAAAAACAAGAGGAATAAAATGCTAAAAAAAAAAAAAAAAAAATTTGATTAAACACAACTTTACGTGAATTAAATAAAAAAAAAAAAAAAAAAAAAATCTCTAGAGCATTTATGCTGAAACGTGTGCAATTTAAACTCCAAAGATACTTAAACTAAACGATCCACTCTTCTTAACAAAAAAAAAAAAAAAAAAAAAACACTATTGAGTTATGGATGCACGCGGGAGGTAAAAAAAAAAAAAAAAAAAGTAAGAGTCGCTCGAGGCGATAGCCGAGAGCGAAAAAAAAAAAAAAAAAAATTAGCAAACCTCCCAAGTGCATCCATAACTCAAAAAAAAAAAAAAAAAAAATTACCATTTGTTAAAGGAAGAAAATGTTATCTAAAAAAAAAAAAAAAAAAATGTTACTGATTTACAAGGAAATTAATGTGTGGAAAAAAAAAAAAAAAAAAAATCATCAGATCTATGGAGTGAAGGATTAAAGAAAAAAAAAAAAAAAAAAAACCGTGTTCCTGATTGAGGAAAAGCATTACGAAAAAAAAAAAAAAAAAAAAATTAACTTTACAACAAATTATTTAACTACTTCAAAAAAAAAAAAAAAAAAAATCATCTGCTTGTAAAAGTATTGTGTTTCGAACAAAAAAAAAAAAAAAAAAAAGCAATGTCTTATTTAAGGTTTCGACTCCAAAAAAAAAAAAAAAAAAAAAAAACAGGCATACGATTATTATGATCATGCACTCAAAAAAAAAAAAAAAAAAACCAAGGTGGCTGCGTAGTTTAATTTATGCGAGAAAAAAAAAAAAAAAAAAACCAACCACTGACCTGGTGCTTCTTGGCTCTCAAAAAAAAAAAAAAAAAAAAGGCCCCTGTGAGTGGAGGTGGTTCTGAAAAACAAAAAAAAAAAAAAAAAAAGATCCTTCAATTATACAGAGAAGTGTCACCTTAAAAAAAAAAAAAAAAAAATAGAAATAGTTATGGATTTTTCCATAGCTTTCAAAAAAAAAAAAAAAAAAATCATCCCTCTCAGAATTAACTCTAAGGCCAAAAAAAAAAAAAAAAAAAAAAAATGCTGTGGCAAAAAAAAAAAAAAAAAAAAGAAAAAAAAAAAAAAAAAAATTTCACTGCACCCCCAAGGATCCCACCATTCAAAAAAAAAAAAAAAAAAAATCTTACCAATGGGAGAAGGCTGCTGCTGCTGCAAAAAAAAAAAAAAAAAAAGCTGTTGTGGATGCTGCGGTTCTCCCCCGCCAAAAAAAAAAAAAAAAAAAAGTGCTGGAGGGGTGAAAGCTTGAGCCTGCGAGAAAAAGAAAAATCAATTTTGGTAATTTTTCGAAAGACGAATATCAATTCAAAAAAAAAAAAAAAAAAAAAGAAGTACATTTCCATGGTAACCAGATTTTAAAAAAAAAAAAAAAAAAAAAATCCTTTAACTGCTAAAGGCAATTAACATCTAAAAAAAAAAAAAAAAAAAAAATTTATTACACGACTCGGGCAGTCAGAAGGGCCAATAACTAAAATCAACCGATGAAAATGCTCTATTGCCGGTCAATATTCTCAAAAAAAAAAANTTACGAAACAATGTTGGTTTGAATACTTAACTTTACAACAAATTATTTAACTACTTCATATCATAGTACTTCCACCATCATCTGCTTGTAAAAGTATTGTGTTTCGAACATTGTTATGGAGCTAAACCAGCAATGTCTTATTTAAGGTTTCGACTCCAAATAATAGAATGATTCCAACCAACAGGCATACGATTATTATGATCATGCACTCCACAATTCATTCCACAAGTCCAAGGTGGCTGCGTAGTTTAATTTATGCGAGGTTGAAAATTAATCGTTTACCAACCACTGACCTGGTGCTTCTTGGCTCTCATCATGTGAGTGTCTTTCCAGGCCCCTGTGAGTGGAGGTGGTTCTGAAAAACAAACACAGAAGAATTGTGAGATCCTTCAATTATACAGAGAAGTGTCACCTTTCCTTCCTAAATCAGCCAGTAGAAATAGTTATGGATTTTTCCATAGCTTTCCATGAATATAGGATTCAACTCATCCCTCTCAGAATTAACTCTAAGGCCAAAAATTAAGCAAAACAAAAAAAATGCTGTGGCAAAAAAAAAAAAAAAAAAAATTGCCTTCTCGTTGTAATGGTATCACTTCAAGAAATGCTAGGTACCATTCAAAAAATTTTTGCACTTTGCATGGGAATCCTGACAAAGAACATAACTAACCTTTTAATGCTCACTTGACATCTGACTCCCTGAAGGGATTAACAAATAAATTCTCCCCACACTTTTGAAACATTGCTAACCCCATATGTGATGAGAATTCAAAAATAAATATTTACAAGGAGACCTAATTTTTTCATATCCTATAACATCAAACGGGTGGGAGTTGCCAGTAAAAAAACCACACATCATTATTTGGGATTATTGACCTCCAGATCCCTGGAGAGACACAAACACACACACAAACACACAAACACAAACACACGCATGCACACGCACGCACACAAATAAAATAATAATAATAATTTTAAGCCAGCTAGCATACCAGTTGGAGGTGGACCAGTTGAAGGTGGGGCTGCAGAGGGCGCTTGTGAAGGAGGGACAACTGAAGGTGCTCCAGTTGGGGGAGGGCCTGAATATGGTGCACCAGGTGTGATTGAACTACCGGGATTGAAAATCTGCACTGGAGGCTGCTGCTGTTGTTGACCTTTCATTAGCATCTGAGTACCAAACTGGGCCTGTGTTGGCACCTGCGTTGGGACCTGTGTTGGTGTGGTGTTTGTTGGTTGTGGTTGGTACATTGATACTGGTGGGGGTTGAGACCATGAAGCCTGCTGCTGATTGGAAGGGGGTGACGGCTGTGGTGGGCCACTGTAGTAAGGTGTCTGAGAAGGAGGAGGAGGAGGAGGCTGGTTGAAAGATGGCTGAGAGACTGAAGGTGGTTGGGATGTCTGTGGTTGGGATGCCTGTGGTTGGTAAGCAGCTGGATTATAGAACTGGGTGTTTTGTGGTGGCATTGGGGGTTGATAAGTAGGTGTAGATACTGGTGAGGGTTGCTGCCGCTGCTGTGGTTGGTAGAGCTGTTGCTGGTGTTGTTGTCGCTGTTGTGTAGGGACACTATAACTTTGCTGTTGTTGAAACTGAAATAGAAGAAACTGGGATTGTAGAAACTGCAAGAAAATATTTATTCTTATTTACAAAAAAACAAAAGGTTTAAAAAAAATGCTTCTTTTTTTTTCTATATGACTATACAGAAATGATACCAAATTTTTCTTTTCCAGGAGAGAAACATCAATTGAACCAAGTGTTAAGCAGAATTTTTTATTAACTTAGACAGTGAATCTTGGTAAAATTTCTTTTGAAGAACTCTAACAAGGGCAAATTCAGTTGCATTTGCAGCTACCAAGAGAACATGAAGACTAATTCATGTCTCAGATAAACAAAAAGGTACAACACTAACTCGTAAGGTATAGAAAGACTTCATTGTGGCCATTTAAACTAACCTGGGCATGATTCTGAACCTGAGGGAGAGGCTCTGCTTGGACATCAATCCTTTGGAATGGGAATGGTGGTGGAGCTGTAGCAGTAGCAAGATGACTTGGATACTGTGCAGTGTACAGGCGATCTTTAAGAACACCCAGGTTTGCCTAAAAACCAACCATAGGCATTAACCCTTTGACTCCCAGAAGTGTCACATCTAACTTCTACTGATAATATCCATACATTATTCAGAAATACTCAAACTTAGGTTAAGTTCTCTTGATCCAACACCAAATTCTGGTAAATAATTCACACGGAAAAGTGTGGCAGCTTGAGGGGGGAATCATCAATCAGATCTTAAGAGTTCAAGGTGTAATGATCTGTTAGAAATTTCACAATTGATCATAATCAGATGTAACAGAGAGGACAATACATGTATACTTCCCTATCACCTTTGGAAATTGTCTATCAACAGTTATTTAAGGGAATGCTTTACTGACACTGATGCCCTTGTTGTTGTTTACAAAAATTACGAGTCCCAATTAATGGATTATTTTAGTTGCATCTCACTTTGTTGTTTGATAGAATGCTCTTCTGTTCTCTAACCTAGTTCTTTAGAAACTAATTTTTATCATGGTTCGCAGGTACAGTGATTACCTAAAAACCCATCCTTGATTTAGTCTTACTTGTACACTTTACCTGATCATTCACAGTCATCAAGTAACCCATAGCAGTCTCCAAGCAACCCTGAGATGCTAAAATCTCTGCATATTTGCTGAAAATGAGAAATGATAAACAGGTTCAATCTAAAAGGTATCTGATAATAATGTATCACCAGTGTAATCATAAATAATTATTTCATTGGCAGAAGAGACTGTCATGTTAATTAACACCAATACACTTTGTGGAAAATAATTTAAAAATTTGCCCACACTCTGTCTGTTCTTAAACATACATGTAACAGTTATCAATGTTTATTCTCAAGCAAGCTGATCACATTGATAAGCTTTTGGTAATGAATATTTCACTTTTATGAGCTAGCCTTACCCCATATCAAGATGATAGCTTCAAAATTAACAGACACAACAACTCTAGATTCCTTCACCTGAGTTTTTCTGCCAGAACAGATGATCCACTGTCAATCAAAAGTCGACGTTCCCTTTCTACTGCTTTCTTTAAGATCATGACTTTTTCAATCAAATCCTTTGTAATGAAATAAAAGAAAAATATCAACATAATCGATTCCAGAAATATATTATAATTACAGACTAACAGCAAACAATAACTAGTGTGGAGAACAGTGAAAAGAAAGAACCTACCTGAAGAGCAAGGGGAGAAGGTTCAGCTGGCATGTTTCTAGACCTGAAACAAAAAAATCAATACAAATGACCTCTACATAACATTTATTATAAACTGATACACACATGTAATTACCAAAGCACAAAACAAGCACTGTGATGTCTATTGGTGAGAAAAAGTCAGAAAAATGAATAGCAAATGACTCTTCCAACATAAAATAACAACTGCAACTTAGATCACATTAGCAGACCAAACACAACTAAGAATACTACAGTTATCTTATCAAACAATGGGTACACTTAGATCACTCACAATGTTATCAAAAGAAAATTCTTTAGATGGATCACATCTGAGGAAATGTTGATTCACTTAACCCTTTAACTCCTATAAGTGATTAACATGTAACTTCTCCCTGTAATATCCATACATTATCCACCAAACAGGTAATGGGAATATTCAAACTTTTCAGGAGGAAGTTGATATCTTGATCGAACACCAATTTCTCGAAACTAATTTGCAAGGAAATGAGTGGCAGCTGGAGGGGGGAATTAGCAATCAGATCTTGCGAGTTAAAGGTTAAACTTCAAGAAACCAAGGAAGCCACACCATTTTCAAGTAGATCGAGGAGGAAATTTGTTTTTTGTTAAACTTACCAACAGGATACGAACTTCTCCACATTTCCAGCACAAATGTAGCAGACCATGGCATTAGCACAGTGTTTATCACCTTCCTGCTCCAGTCTCTGTCCCAGCAGATCACACAGGGCAGTGAACTCTTCAGCTTTGGCATATGTCACAAGAGCTGCAAGTGCTTCTCTCCAGTTTTCCAACACACAGCTCTCAACTATGTCACGCCAGTCACGGTTCACAACAACTGACATCAGCTGAAAGGAAACATACCTAAGCTTTATTGTAATAATATAATAATAATAATATATGTTAATTGAAGCTCCCCCTTAGGGGCTTTTCAGCCACAATGTAGATTATAACATAACCAAAGTAAAGCGCGCGCTCTGATTGGTCAATTTAGCGTTCCCCATTTGCCCATGGGTGTACGCTGCTGACGTGAGCAAATGCAAAGACTATTTTTCCGCGCGCGCTTGTTTTTTCTGGTCGCGTAAGATTTGTTAAATAAACGGGAACTCTTTAGCTACAATGTATCAATGTTATGTTATAAAACAAATGGTAAACACCACAGCGTACACTATTGAGTTATGGATGCACTTGGGAGGTTTGCTAAGCACTCAAGAAGCTAGAGTCGCTCTCGGCTATTGCCTCGAGCGACTCTTACGCTTCTTTCGTGCTTAGCAACCTCCCGCGTGCATCCATAACTCAATAGTGTACGCTGTGGTGTTTACCATTTGTTAATAAACTAAGAGCTTAAAAATCCCCCCTGGCAAGGGCAGGAGGCAGACCAGTGGGCTATTTACAGAGCGCAGCCGAGGAGTTCAACTAGGGGCAACTGAGAACAAAATAATCCAGTGAGTGGCAGGGTGGAGGACTTGAACCCGGGACACCGGATTACAAGTCTAGCACCCTAACCCCTCGGCCACGCCGCCTCCTTGGATAAGCATTATCCTTATTTACAGTAGTTTTCCTTACATACTGTAACATGTTCATTAAAACTGATAAAAACATAACAATTAATTTTACCCTTGCAACATTACTCTTGCTCTTCTCAAAGTATCTTGTTTGAATTCTGGCCAAGAGATCTGGACCACCAGCGATAGCAAGAAGGAAGGCATCAGCCATTCTATCAGCATGAAGGCACACATCCACAGCTGCTTCAAAATTTCCAGTCAGCAGTGCTTGAGTGATGAGACCATCAATATCTGAATGAGAAGCCACCTCCTGCATTAGCCACTGGGACTAATTTTAACCATTTGACTACCAAATTCTTGTAACTAATTTACATGGAAATGCATGGCAGCTACATATAGAGGGGAAGGTTAAAATCAGATCTCGGGAGGTACAACTGAAGGCTAAAGCAACAAGACTGAACAAAGATATATGTAGTCCTATTAAGCAGACAGCATTAGTCTCACCATCATCTGTAGGAATCTGGAAAGGTAGTCGTGGATTCACAACTTCACCAACTCCTAGAAGTAACAAAATTGGTTACCTGTCTGAATTCCAAGAAAAGCTGTCTTTATGAAAGTTTTAGAAGTGAGAGAAACAAACAAAAAACAAAAAAAAACACTGCACATTACCAATCAGACTCTTGAAGCAAAATAGTGAATGTTCAGAGGCCTGTTTCTCACAAGTCCAAGTAACTTTACCAGCTCAAAAATTTCACTTTAAACTTTAATCTAGGGGGTTGTGGTTCAGATCTCAGTCAACAAAACAATCTGCTCTGTTTCATCCTGAAATTTGATTGTTTGAATTTCAAAATTGTCCAAACCGGAGACCTGAGTCTACTGGAACTTGCAATAAATGAGCCCTCGGGTTTGTAGAACTGAGCACACTAACCAATCTCAGACCCTGTGTCTACTGACAAAGGTCCTCCAGCAGCAATAGCATCAAAGGCTGCAGCACCTTCATTTAAACTTCCAGCCTCTGACAGTGGAGTCTGAAACATACAATGCTGCTCAGTGAATATAACTTTGCATGGTAAATGTCTCAGATAGAGTCCACACAGAAACAAAAAAACAGTTTCTTAAAACATTTAATGTAGAAACATTTATCGGCACACACACACTGGGAAATACACAAAATGTTCTTGTTAGTCCACTTGATTCCATTAATAAAAATAAAAAATAGCAGACAATATTGAAGTTAATTTCAATGTTTGTCACTACATGTATCACAGTCTTAGTCTGCTGATGAATTCCACAGCCACAAAATTTGAGAGAGGCCTGTGTATTGACATAGAGGTGATCCATGATCACTTCTATCAATTTTTCTCCAAATTTGCACAAATAAATTAAGAACTTCATAGAGATTTACACACTGCGACGCTTAAAGCAGTGTTTCCTTTGTAGCCAGTGCGCAACAACTGAAAGGAACACACCTTAGATTCTGCAACTGAGGGTGTACTTGCTCCACTTGAGAACACACCTTCCCCTGTTTTCCCACTTGCTTCCTGTAATGTAAGGCAAGACATGAGATGTGAGTACAGCTAAAAAGCATCTATGCAAGCATTTACCTTGGTCATGCAAAAACAAAAAGATACCTTCAAGGGAATTCTTTAAATTAGTCAGTTTGATTGTTATAAATTTACGATCCGTTAAATCCTTGCATGACTTCTCTGACAATACAGCAGAACATCAAGTCTTATGTACACCCAAAATAACTCTGCTTACCACTTCAAACTGCAGACACATACATAACAATCATGTTAAGGTAAATACTAATTAAAATTAATCCTTCCTCCATTCATTGTCTCAACGACTGACTACAGACAAGAGCACCTCCTGGTTAGCTCAATGGATAGAGCGCTGGACTGTAGTGCGGGAGGTCGAGGGTTCGAGCCCCGGCCGGACCAACACTCAGGGTCTTAAAATAATTGAGAAGAATTTGCTACCTTTCTATAACATCAAGAAATGGTTAGATATTCTAGTCTTCTCGGATAGGGACGAATAAATGGAGGTCCCGTCTCCTGCAGGGTTGGGGTAGGAGACGTTAATTTCCCACACACGAGATTACTGTGTGATGGATGTCCTCCCCTGGGGTGGGATGGGTGGGATATAGGGCGCACTTAATTTGGAGCCTCGCTCTGTTGTGCGACCCTCACCACACTCTGGTGAAAGTGATTAAATAAATAAATAAATA